ATTCCAAGCAAAGAGAAACTTTTGTGCAATGATGTTTGATAGATTATCTTTTGTAAGACACTCAGAAATACTACATTGATTATATGCGTAACCCAATGCATGCTAGTATCACACTTTGCTTTAGTATCTAGATTTTTCGTTCTTAAACCATCGTCTCATATCTGCCAAAGATTTCTGTATTTTCAAAGAATTATGTATAAATATAAATGAATAGATAACTCTTCGATTTTCTCTCCTCTCAAATTTACTTATGTTGTTACACATGAACATCTACAAGAACATTTTTTCTTGATCCTATCTCCTAATAATCTTGGACAGAGGTGTCAGGTTAAACTGAGATTTAATAATAACAATAAGTGAATCTATAACATCAATATAATTTTTACTGAATTTATTGGGGTGATGTTGGTTGATAAAATTATATAAATTATATAAAATTATATAAATTGTACTATAAATTATATAGTACAATTCCATGACTATAATACAGCATCTGTATATTGTATTATGTATTCACCACCCCAAGTAAGTTTCCTTCCATCACCATTTATCCCCCCTTTACAATCTTCTATCTGCCCCCAAACCCCTTTCCCTCTGATAATCACCATATAGTTGCCCATGTCTGTGAGGTTGTCTTCCCTTAATCCCTTTGCCTTTTTAACCGAGTCCCCCAAGCCATCTCTTCTCTGACAGAACATAATTTTTAATTGAATAATAAATGCACTTGTATTTTTTAACTTTCCACCCAAGGATATGTTTATTGACTTGCAAGGGAAAGAAACATTGATGTGAGAGAAAAACATCAGACAGTTGCATTTCATACTGCCCCAACCGGGGACTGATCCCTCAAACTATGTATGTGTCCTGACTAGGGATCAAACCCACAACCTCCTGGTGTACAGCACTATGCTTCAACCAGCTGAGCCACCCAGCCAGGACAATGTCTCATTTCTTAACAGTCTACCTGCATCTACCATGTGATTGTCCAGATTCCTGCTTTATCAATTGCTTTCATTTCTTTTCCTTCCTCTTTTTTCCTTTTTCCACATTTTTGTTTCCCTGACTTCTTCTTCTTTTCCTCTCCCTCCTCCTCCCCCTCTTCTTTCTCGTCCTCTTCCTCTTCTTCTTCTCAGACGGTGACTTTCACTTTTTGCTATTCTTTAATAATCAAATCACACAAACTCATTCATGGCATCTGCACTTAGGTTTCCCTCTGCTTAGGCCACTTCTCCCCATTAGCTGAATGGCTCACTCTGTCATGGCCTTTAGGTCTTTATGTAAATGTAATTTTTATTTGTAACTTATCTTAACCACCATTTTAAATTGTACCTATCCATTACAATTGTTTATTTTCCCCATTACACTTACTACCTAACATATTACACATTTTATTTATTTTGTCTATGTTCTCTACTTACTCTATACTAAATTATAAGCTCTAAAGTAGGTATTGAGTTCTGTTGTTGGTTAAGTGCTTTTCTACTTTATACTAGATGAAGGCAGAAATGAAATATTGTCCACTACAACCACAAATTTAGTATTTTAAATGTAACCAATATCTGTTAAATGTTGTTTCCCCATATTAATTTTCTAAAACAAATCAATGTTGAGAAGTAATGAACTTAAAAAATGGTTTAAACCTTTTCTATGTCTTCACCATTGATCTGTACCAGGCATATGACAGTTTTTCATCAGGGAGTTTTAGGGTTTAATAACAAATGGTCTTAAAAAGTTATTCTTATTATGTGCTTGAATCTTTCTCAATTTGTGGATGTGGCAGTGTTGAGGGTCACTGGTGTGTGTTGATGCTAAAACAAGAAAGTGTGAAGATTCAAAATGAACAGAAACAAGCTTATAAGCCACAAATGGAAGTGTGCCTGAGTCTCCAAACCTAGAACAAGTAGAAAATATTAAAAGAATAACATGTTAAAAGATAGAAATTTTTTTTCATTTAAAAATGTTCCCTATACATTAGAAGTATTCAAAATACATTTGTTGAATTTATAAGTTTGGAATCAGGGCTAGGAAGACAGACAGATCGTGAACAAAAATCAATGAACTTAGAAGAATATATATTTATTCTAAGAAATTTGGATTAAGAGTCATTTGTAATTATTCTCATTATATGATGCAAGGAAGGATCAGTTACTCAAATTCCAAAAATGGTACTTTTTTTTTTAACATAGACCGAATGCTCTTTGTCATGATATGTTACCCATTCATTTTCTTGGCTCTTCAAACCGAACTGCCTAACTTCAGTACTGTGTGTTTGCACTAGGCTGTGTTTAGTCAATTTAGTTTAGCTAATCAGTAGAGAGGATTGAAAAATTTTATTTCAATTCTGAACTTTAATGATCAAGTACAAAATATTGCTTTCCTTTTTGTGAAATTACTTTATGTTCACAGATAATAATCAAACTCATATAGAGGTGTTAGCAATAAAACAAAGGAAGTTTCTTCTTTATTTCCAAGTCTCTGGTTATATTTTGCTTGCTTGTTTGTTCTGTTGATTAGATTCCACTTATAGGTGAAATCACATGGTATTTGTCTTTCACTGCCTGGCTTATTTCACTTAGCATAATGCTCTCGAAATCCATTCATGCTGTTGCGAAGGGTAGCTCTTCTTTTCTTTCGGCTGTGTAGTATTCCATTGTGTAAATGTACCATAGTTTTTTGATTCAATCATCTACTGATGGGCATTTAGGTTGCTTCCAACATGTAGCTATTATAAATTATGCTGCTATGAACATTGGGGTGCATAGGTTCTTTTGAACTGGTGTTTCAGGATTCTTAGAGAATACTCCCAGCAGTGGTATTGCTGAATCAAAAGGCAGTTCTATTTTTAGTTTTCTGAGGAAATTCCACACTCTTTTCCACAGTGGCTGCACCAGTCTGCATTGCCACCAGCTAGGGTTCCCTTTTCTCCACAACCTTGCCAGTACTTGTTGTTTGTTGATCTGTTTATGATGGCTATTCTGACCAGTGTGAAGTGGTGTTTCATTGTGGTTTTAATTTGCATTTCTCTGATGGCTAGTGATGCTGAGCAACCTTTCATATGTTTATGGGCCTTGTGCATGCCTTTCTAGCAGAAGTGTCTGACAGTAACCAGAGGAGGGGAGGAGGGGATAAGAGGTGGATAGAGGGGAAGTATAATCAAGGAACATGTATAAAGGACACATAGGCAAAGTCAAAAGGGGTAGGATCAAGGGTGGGAGGTGGACATGGGGGAAAATGGACACAACTGTACTTGAACAACAATAATTTTTTTTTAATTTTACAAAAAAACAAAGACAAAAGTATTGTACACATTTGAATGAGTTAGTAAAAATATAATTTTGGAACAAGTAAAGTCTCTGCTGGTGTTTTACATCCCTGATATTTTATACTGATAATATTTAAAAGGAATTTAAAAGGAAATATATTACATACAGTTAAATGTTAATCTATTGATATGATTTTATATATTCTTTTGAATATGTGATGGAATGCAATCTGTATAATTCACACTCTTTAACTTTTCATCACCACATCATTTTCCCTTTGCAGTCTTAATCTCAAACTCTGTAGCTTTTAGAAAAAGTGAACAGATGGTAATTTGCTGCTTTAAGAATGTATTTAATTTAGTTTAGTATGACTTACAGGTTAGGTGTTTTTCAATAAATTGTCTTTCCAATTCTCATTACATAATCAAGCTAATGGAGCTGAAATGATGGTTAATTTGGTCTTGGCCCAGTGAAACATAGCACAATTTAAGCAAGTTTTTAACCACTTTTCCTAAGAGTGAATTAGATTGTTCTATTTAAGGAGGCCTGCATATTATATGCAATACTTACTATCTCTTTAAATGGTCTCGAACAAATTTAAAAATTAATTCACTTAACAAATAATTATTAAATGCATAGAATCTACTAAGTAGTGATTATTCAAAGTGGAGGGGTACATAAGACACAACTCACCCTCTCATGATACCTCTCTTCCCCAGGAAAAATGATCAATGAATCATCATATAAAACAGGTGATTGAAAAGAATATTTGTTATGCATTTAATTTTATTCATCTCCTAACTCCTTTCTAAAAGCAACTTACTCTAAATACTTTTGTGTACTACATTAATTCTTTGAGAAACACTCTGGAACAAAAACTAGAGTGGTACAAGGAGATAGCCTCTGGAGTAAGTTGAAATAGATTTTTAACACATTTTATAGTTTCTTTTCCAGCTTTTTTGAGGTATAGTTGAAAAATAAAAAATTATATATATTTGAAGTATACAATGTGATGATGTAATATATACATATGTTATGAAATGATGATCACAATCAAGTTAATTACCATGTTTATCATCTCATATAGTTACTTTTTTTAAATGAGGTTAGATAACTTAAGAGCTACTCTCATTAAGGAACAAGTATAAAGGACCCATGGATAAAGCCAAAGCAGGGCCAAAGCAGGATTGAGGGCGGGAGGTGAGGGTACATGGGGAAGGGGAGAGTGGTGGTAAGATAATGGAGACAACTGTGCTTGAACAATAAAAATGCAAAAAAAAGGAATTTAAAAAAAGCTACTTTCTTAGTAAATTTCAAGTATACAATAAAGTGTTATTAACTATATAGTTACCATGCTATACATTAGATTTCCAGAGCATTCTCATCTTGTAACTGTTTTTACCCTAAGCAGACATCTCCCCAATGCCCACCTCTGAACCTTGCAACCACAATTCTATTCAATGATTCTATGAATTTGACTTTTGGAAGAGCTGAGGGAGGGAAGGAGGGAGGGGGCAAGGGAAAGAGGTGGGGGGGAGGCAGAGACAAATGTATTTAAAAAGTAAATAAATTTAAAAAAAAGAAGTTTATATAGTATAATATTTTCTCCTTGTTTTTCCTTAAAAAATTTTCAAATATTAATGGATTTCCCAAGTAATCATTTAATACTCAATATAAAATAATATATAAGAGATAAAGAAAGAGGTAACAACCATTTTACTAAACCTTATGATTCTTGTGTTACATGAAAGGAAAGTTAGCACTCCCCTTGAAAAGGTGCAAGAGGTTCTTTGGCCTAACAACATGCATATGGTTAAGGCATTACCACCTAATTCGTGGCAGGTAATCATCATGTTTAAAAAAGATGTAAATCTTACCTTCTGCAACATCATGGATGGATCTGGAGATTATGCTAACTGAAATAAGCCAGTTGCTGAAAGGCAAATACTGTATGATCTCACTTATATGTAGAATCTAATGAACAAAATAAACTGACAAAATAGAAACAGAGCTATGGATACCTGGGACAGACTGAGAGCTGTCAGGGGGAGGAGAGAGGAGGCTTGATGAAAGAAGGTGAAGGGGATTAGTCAAAGAAGATATATGTATAACCTATATACATATAAGATATGTATAATTCTCATTGATAAATGTAGAGACAACTTTTTGTATGTAAGTAGACAGAAGTCAAAATAATGGCCTAAAGATATAAGTTGAGGAAATAAAGAATGGGGGTATAAACAACTTTGTAGAAATTAAACCGTACAGGGAGAAGAGAGAAAGAAGAAGACAAAATAAGGCATATTCAATAAAGTGAAAAAATGTTGGGCAATTCAGTTGGACTATACTCTGGTTCATGCCTTGATATGCTGATATGTCTAATGTTTATTTCAAGTGGCACTGGACTTAAATGAATCCCTTTAACTTCTGTGAATTTGATTTTTATGCCATGTAAATGTTGACAATAGTGCCTTCTTAAAAGATATTTTGAGAAGTAAATAAGATAGGAAACAAGAACATTTTCTACTGAAATTGGGGTAGACCTTGACCTGAGAGAAAAGACAGGAAAAATATGGTGCCAGGCAGGCTGACCTAGTGAAGTCCTCCAGACACAGAAAAGTTGTGTTTTATTTATTTTTTAGTTAAATTTATTGGGGTGATGTTAGTTAATAACATTATCTAGGTTTCAAGTAAACAATTCCATAACATATCATATGTATAGTGCACTGTGTGCCCACCACTTAGAGTCAAATCTTTTTTCATCACCTTATATTTGATCCTCTGTGCCTGTGAGTTTTCAGTTATTTGTTTTTCTTGTCCATTTGTTGTTTTCAGTTTTATATCCCACCTATGAGTAAAAACAAATGGTTCTTAGCTTTTTCTGTTTGACTTATTTTGTTTAGCATAATATTCCCAAGATCCAACCATGTTGTTGCAAATGGCAGTGTTTCATCTTTTCTCATGGCTAAGGTATGTATTTTTTTTTAGAAAGAAAGCAGACTACAATGGAAACAAGAGTTGAGAGTTCATGATACATTCATTACACCAATTTTATTTATTTTATTTTTTCATTGATTTCTTTATTCTAAGTATTTTATTTTTAAATTATATTTTATTGATTATGCTATTACAGTTGTGCTGATTTTCCCCCCTTCCCTCCCCTCCAGCACCCTCCATTCCCTCAGGTAATCCTCACACAGTATTCCTGTCCATGGGTCATGCATGTAAGTTCTTTGGCTACTCCATTTCCCCTACTGTACTTTACATCCCCATGGCTATTCTGTAACTACCTATTTGTACTTCTTAGTCCCCTCACCTCTTCACCCATCCCTCCTCACCACCCTCCCATCTGGCAACCATCAAAATGCTTTCTGTATCCATGATTCTGTCTCTGTTCTTGTTTGCTTAGTTTTTTAGATTCAGTTATTGACAGATTTGTATTTTTTGCCATTTTATTGTTCATCATTTTGATCTTTTCCTAAATAAGTCCTTTTAACATTTCATATAATAACAGTTTAGTGATGATGAACTCCAATTTTTTCTTGTTTGGGAAGCTCTTTATCTGCTTTTCCATTCTAAATTATATCTGCTGGGTAGAGCAATCTTGGCTATAGGTCCCTGCTTTTCATGACTTTGAATATTTCTTGCTAATCCTTTCTAGTCTGCAAAGTTTCTTTTGAGAAATCAGCTGACAGTCTTATGGGAACTCTACTGTAAATAACCAACTACTTTTATCTTGTTGCTTTTCAGATCCTTTCTTTATCTTTAACCGTTGACATTTTAATCATAATATGTCTTGGAGTGGGTGTCTTTGCATGCATCTTGTTTGAGACTCTCTGTGTTTCCTGTCTTGTATGTCTATTTCCTTCACCAATTAGGGATGTTTTCTATCATTATTTTTTTCAAATAGATTTCCAATTACTTGCTGTTTCTCTTCTTCTGGCACCCCTATAATGTGAATGTTGAACCTCGTCAAGTTGTCCCAGAGGCTGCTTATACTATCCTCATTTTTCTGGATTCTTTTTTCTTCTTATTGTTCTAATTGTTTGTTTTTTGTTTCCTTATGTTCTGTATCATTGATTTAGTTCTTGACTTCATCCACTCTACTGTTGCTTTCCTGTAAATTATTCTTTATTTCAATTAGTGTATCTTTCATTTCTGACTGGATCTTTTTAGGCTGTTGAAGTCCTCACGAAGTTCCTTGAGCATCCTTATAACCAGTGTTTTGAACTCTACATCTGATAGATTGCTTATCTCCATTTTGTTTAGCTCTTTTTCTGGAATTTTGATCTGTTCTTTCATTTAGGCCATGTTGCTTTGTCTTCTCATTTTGGCAGTCTCTCTGTGTTTATTTCTATGTATTAGGTAGAGCAACTTTGACTCCCTGTCTTGGTTGCGTGGCCTAATGTAGTAGGTGTCCTGTAGGATCCAGTGGCACAACCTCCCCTATCACCCAAGCTGAGTGCTTGAGGTGCAGGCTGAGTACAACCTACTCTTGTAGTTGAACCTTGGTCACTATTGGAAGATTAATGGGAAGGGTTTATCCAAACCAGTCAGCTTCAAGGATTGGCTGTGTAACTCAACCACTTAACACCCACCTCCACCCTCCATGGAGGATCAGCTGTGCTGGGGCAAGGTGCTCCGCTGTGGTCTGTAGTGGCACACTGGGTGTACTGGCCTTGGGGTTTCCTGGATTTTGCAGGCCATGGTCAGCTCCCACCTGTGTTTTGCCCCAGACAAACATGCCTGAGCTATAAACCAATCTGAGATGGTTGATGCTTGTTCTGGGCTTGGAGCTTCCCAAACAAAGCCAAGCTGTGAATCTTGGCTGGCTACTGCTAGTGGCAGACCTGGGGCTCACAGAGGCCAGCTGTTGCTTATTTGATAGGATTTAGGAAGTTGTGAACGGTGCGCCAAGACCAGCCATTCATATGGAAAAGCAGCTTGGGTCAGCTCCTCAGCTGGGTGGCAAGGAGTCTCTGGGGGTCTCCATGGTGAGTCAAATAGTGTTACCCAGATTGAAGGAGTCCCAGATATGGTACCAGCCTCCTGGCCCTGTGAGGGAAGGGCTTAGAAAAGGGACAATGGCCTCTGCCCACCTTGATGCCAGATACTTCAGTTCCTCCCTCTATATCAGTGATGCCTTTCAAGCTGTTACCCAGTGCTGGAGCTCAGAGGGAGTGTGTCTGTGTAGGGGAGTCTGTGTGTGGGTTATTTAAGATGAACTTCTTGGGGCTCCAGAATTTTCTTCCACCAGGGCTTCCCCACTGGTTTTTGCAGCTAGAAGTTGTGGGAACTTATCTCCCTGGCACTGGAACCCCAGGCTGGGGGACCTAGTGTGGGGCTAGGACTCCTTGCTCCCTAGATATCTCTCCTGGATTTTTATCCACTATACATGAATGAGGGACCAACCTGGTCTGTGCCTGTGCCCGTCTTACGAGTCTGGATGGATGTGATATCTTTAATTTGGTAGTTGCCAGATTTCCATTAACTCAATTTCTGATGGTTCTGAGGGTTGATTTATATTTTAGTTGTAATTTTGAAGTGGTTGTGTGAAGAGGTGAGACATTCTGCCTACACCACCGTCTTGACTGGAAGTCTCACACCACTTTTATTAAGCACTAAAAAATGAGCTACATAAATTGGGAATAAGGATTTTTAAAAATGCATTTAATATTTTAAAAAGCTAATATCTTTTTTGGGGAGACAGACAGGTATATAGGCAATTTTCCATATCTTGTTATTGGTAGTTACATGGATCAAACCATCTTAAAACGCATCTCATCCCCATTATTAAAAAATGAAATATTTAAACATGTCCTTCTGTTCAAATTTCAACTTTGATACTAGACTTATTTCTTAGCTAAACATATTTATAAACACATGTATACATGCATTAGCAATGGTCTTCCACAGAAACAGAACCAACAGGATGTGTGTGTGCATACATGTATGCATGTACATGTTTCACTTCAAATGTGTGTATGTGTGTATTGAGAGAGGGAGAGAGACAATTATTTTTTTTTGGAATTGGCTCACAAAATTTTAGATATGCAAATTCCACAATCCGGAAGGAAGAGTTGCAATTAAAGTCCAAATGCATGCAGTCTGCTGTCAGGATTCCTTATTGATCCAGGGAAGTCAGACTTTGTTCTGTTAAAGCCTTCAGCCGGTTGGATGAATACCTCATTGTGGAGAATAATCTACCAATTTACATGTAACCTCATCTCAGAAACACCTTCATTGAAACACCCAGAATAATGTTTGAACACATATTTGGGCACCATGACCCAGTCAAGTTGACAGATAAAGTTAACCATCATAATAAACTATATATGTCATTATAAATTTTTATTTTAATTAAGACTATTTCCTACCACTGCTTTAGGGTTTATGATTGGAAGGAAAAATAAGAAATTTAATTGGTTAACTAATTTGTTACATGCCATTCCTTTTGTGGTATACCACAAGGATTCAATAAATGTTACCCATGCCTAAAATTGCCGATATTATATGACTCTATTTAAAAAAGAAACCTACTCACTTTTAGTCTATGGCAATTATGGTGTTTGTGGAAAGCTCTTGGATAATATATTTTACATATGATAAGTGCAAATGTCACCCACAATATGTTTTCAGTGATATAACCATTTTAAGATAAAAAATTAATTGAATAATGTAATTTTAGCATTTTAAGAAAGATGCATAAGAACTAGTTTCATTATTTAAATGAAATGTTAGGATAAAAATTTAATCTTAAGTATGCTCTCCAAACTGTAAACACAACAAACACAACTCTAAAAGTTGACACTCTTAAATTAGAACAATGATTATCTAGGGGGTGGAATTATGGGCAAT